GTAAACAAAGTGAAAATAAAGGTTTTACCAAGACAACTTAATAAAAGAAATAAAGATGTAATCAGGTTTCTAAAAATGCAAAATTAATTCCCTTTAGCACAAACCTCAAATTAATAATCTGAGGAGTAGAAGTGAAGTAATAGATCTTTGGAATCATATATCAAAATTTTAGCTTAATCTAACTATTAAAAAAAAATGGGAATGAAGGTTTTACGAAAACAACTTCAAAAACAAAAAACAAGGAAAGCGTAGAAAAGAAAAACATATACAAGAAAACCAAAACTCCCACAAGTAGACAAGATAACTACCCTCACTAAAACCCAACATGCTCGTATCTCACAAGTTCAGATTCTTAATCCCAAAACATACAATTATCGTACTTCAGAGACTTAAACTCTTCTTACAACCAAAAATGTTTCTCTCCTCTTTTGTGGCATGTTTTTCATTCTTCATTCTTGTCATGTATAAAACAAACCAAACTTAACTTTATCTTCCATTTACTATTCACATCTAATACCACTCTTAACACTTACTTAACTACATCATCCTTTTATCTTTCAGACCTAATGTTAGAAGTGGGTTTAAAACCTAATTCAACCCCACAAAACTGGCTTGTAAGGTGAGGTTTGCACCTCAGTTATATATTATAATTTGACCTTATCTCTAATTGATGTGGGACTTCCAACACCTAATATCATATTTAACCTTATACGTATTTTACTATAACATTATACATAATTTTACTTTACCATAAAAATTTATCTATTTTCTTAACTATAACTATTTTTCAAAAATCTTCTTTTCGACTCTAACTCTTCCCTTCTAATTCATTTTTCTTTTTATTACTTCGAAAATAGCTATTTCAACTTCAACCATTTAAATTTTCTATATCCCTTTTTATTTTCCATTAAACAAATGATATTTCCTTATCTTCTTCTAAAAGTCCCAGCTATTCTTAATATAATATTGATAATGCCATAGGTCTGGGTCAAATATGCAGAAAGGAATTAAAAAGTAAAGTTGAATGGAATACAGAAAGAGTAAAACAAAAGAGGTTAAGTGGCTAGTTCTTCTTCAAGTTCAAAGCTATGCTCATATTAATACGTGAAAGGACTGGACAGAATTTTATAAAGAATATGCTGAACAGAATTTCACAAACAATATGCAGAACAAAATTTCACAAAAATAGCTCGAACAAATTTTCACAAGAAAATGATTCAGTTAGCTAACAAAATACTATTTTCAAAACAAAATACTGCCATTAAATTAAATGTATAATAGTGTAGGTATTATAATACAATTAACTATATACGGACACATTTATTTTTTAATTTTGTTCTTAAATATCTATTGTTTTAAATGATTTCTTTTAAAAATTTAAGCATTCTTTAACTTGATCGTTTTTTATTTTCTAAAATTTAATTATTTTTAAAAAATAATTATTTATAATAAAAATTATTTAAAAATATATATTTTGATTTATGTAATTTAAAATTTATTATAACATAAAATTATAAAAAAGAAACAAAAATACTGATTTAGTTGAGATAAGAGATTATTATAATTAATTATAATTAAATTAAATATAGTATAATAAAATATTATATATATATATATATATCATATCTATCTCTATATATATCAATATATATAATTATAACTCAAAATATGTATAATTTAGGTATGCAACGATTTCGATAACTTAATATCGCTAATTACAGTATAAACATTTCTTCCTGCACATGCATCTATATATATAAGTTCTGAGAAAGGTTAAAAATATTCTTTCATGTATTATTTTATTAAAAAATAAATTTTGATTTATATAATTTCAAATGTATTTTTTATTTTTGTATTTTAGATCATTTAATTAGTAACATATTTTTTATATTTTAAAATATAAATTTTGTATTTTGAATTGTATATTCTAAAATTAAATTTGCAATATAATTTTTTATATTTTAGAATAACTCCAAATTAAAACTAAAATTGAACCCTAGAGAAATAAATTTAAAATATAAATCTATGGGGTGGAGGTTGAAAGTATTGAGGTAAAACAAGACATGGCCCAAGCCCAATAAAGATAAAATCGAAGCCCATTAGTCTTGGATTTTATACTAGGGTTACATAAGAGGCATAAAGGTGAGAGCGTATTCCTGTAACTACTACTGCCTTCACTTGTTTGTTGTTGTTCGAAACCAAAACCCTAGCAGTCGGCAACAATGGTGGGCTTTTCTTATTCTCCGATGAGACTGAGATACATTTGTGGTGGCTGTTGTTATCGGTATTGATTTTTTCCTTTCTATTTGCAGGCAGAAGTTGAGGTTGATGTGGCGGCAGGAGCACAGCCGAAGAAGAGAACATTCAAGAAGTTCAGTTTCAGAGGCGTAGATCTGGACGCGCTTCTTGACATGTCCACTGATGAACTCGTCAAGCTCTTCAGTGCCCGTGCTCGTAGAAGGTTTCAGAGAGGGCTTACCAGAAAGCCCATGGCCTTGATTAAGAAGCTCCGCAAAGCGGTACTCTATTCTTTCATCATTATCTTATATGTGTCTGCGTTCCTTTGAAACGGATTTTGTTAGGTTTTGCTGATTTCCCTATCAATTTGAAATTGTTTTAATAAGCAAATAAATTACCTTCATTTGTTTCTGATTGTGTTTGTCTGATTTTAATGACAGAAAAGAGAAGCACCGGCAGGTGAGAAGCCAGAGCCAGTGCGCACTCATCTGCGCAACATGATTATTGTCCCTGAGATGATCGGTAGTATCATTGGAGTGTACAATGGCAAGACCTTCAATCAGGTTGAAATCAAACCCGAAATGATTGGCCACTATCTCGCTGAGTTTTCAATTTCATACAAACCTGTCAAGCACGGTAGACCTGGTATTGGTGCCACCCACTCTTCTAGGTTCATTCCTCTCAAGTGACAACAGATATGCTTTAGTAATTTCTTCCGGCCTATTGGATTTTGTTTGTTATTTCAGTGTTTTATTTTCAGTTCCTTATTGTATGGTTTATCATGACTTGATTCCATATATCAACATTGTAGTGTTTGTTTTATGTTCACAACTTGTTCATTTAAAGCATGAATTTATCGAAATAGTCGTTTAAACTTGATTTGGGGATCTGTTAATTGCTGCTGAATGCCTTTGCTCCGTGCTGGGTCTTTCTTTGACTTACTGGTATGCGATTATGGAACAACTCGTCCCATTCAGAGTGTTAACCTTCCCATTCTGGTCGTGGTAGATAGAAATTCTTTTATCCTCAAATGACTTTCATAGTCGTTTTGGGTCAGTTTGATATGTTTTATTTTTAAATCTAAATAGGTTATTTTGTTTTTGTTCAATTTGATATAATGTCTTTTTAATATAACAGACTGTGTTAGTTATGTATTCTTACTACCTAAAACAAGTGAAAAATTGTCTGGTTATGTGTATACTAATCAATGATCCCGGAGGTTTTTAACCAGAGCAATGTAATAGAGAAAATACAGTTAGGGTGGGGATCCAATTCATATTTGAGCAAGGGGGTAGGGGTTTCTGGGGATTAATCGTTCTTTTTTTTAGTTAGCCATGGATTGATTTGTGTACTAGAAACTTCAGCAATAAACGAGGTAATTTCATTTTCGATTTCATTTTCACATCACTTGGTCCAATGCGATGATATGGTAGAAATTGGACATGTTTTTACTATGATTGTGAGGTTTCAGTTCTTAGTTTTAAACTAATAGGATTTTCAAAGCAGATTGTGTTTGAATTTTTCTACCAAATTTAAATACACATTAGCTAATTCATCCCGCGGCCTCTTTTTATCTCCCTTAATCTCTCAATTAACATTTCACGCTCACTGAATACTGAATAAATATGTCTAAAGTGGAAGACAGACGCCCGTCGAGTGTGCTATTATCGTTGCTGCTACTGTCTCAGCTATTATTTGTCGGGTGTTTGTTCCCCAAGGTTTATTAATTTTAGTTCACATTGCTTTTATTGGCTAAGAGAACTTAAGCACGTTGAAGATGCAATTATAATTGGTCTTTCTAGGTTTGCTTTGTTTGGACTTGTTATAGGCATTAGTCTGACCTCGTATTAGAAGGGCATGAAATCGATTTACTGAGAATCTTTGGGAAAGTTATTGTATAAATAAGACAAATTTTATATACTGTTGACAGGGTTTTAACCGATTTAATAAAAAATAAATTTCTATATTATACAAATATTTTAAAATTAATATTAATTTTTTAAGTAATAAACACTTTTACATTTTAACTTGATATTAACACAACTTTTAATAAAAACTTTAATAATATAAAATATTATTTTTATAATATTTAAAAACCTCTATTTTAAAAATGATTCTTTTATTACATATATTCTTGATATTAAAAACATAAGTCTAAATTATTTTATTGGTTGTATCACAAAGGGGCTGTTTTATGTTTAAAGTGGAGGTCTGTATTACATCAAATGAATTACTGGTGGCGAATGTATTTTTATTGGATAACGAATGTGGCACAAATTACGACACTCACGAACCTAGTATGATAATCACGTCATATCTAATATATATTGTTGATTTAAGAAGATACATACTTGAAAATTATTTGTCATCTAATAATTACGCACCTATATATTTAAGGATCTCAAACACAAAATCTTACATATTTAATAATATATTGAATAAAAGGAGTAGTTTCTCCCAATCTCACATTTAGAAAACCTAGATTAATTTTATTTTTCATATCAATTTATATGAAGCAAACAAGAACTTAATTTACCATAAGTTATAGAATCAAATATGATTTTAAAATAATTCTTGTAAAATTTGTCAAATTATTATAGAAAGAAGCTTATATTAAAACCAAATTAAAATAAAAAAAAAGGAAATAAGGTTGCACAAGTGTCTGAAAATGGCGCACTAGGTGTAAGTAATTTTGGTGTAGCGTGTCAAAAAACTGAACCATGGAGCGCCACGTACTCTCCGCCTGTTTTCGAAATTTCTCTACAAAGGGAGACTCAGAAGAAGTGAGAAGGTACAGTCATGGCCATGGCTGCATCTTCCAATTCAGAAGCAGAATCAGCATCAGACATATCCAACTTGTTCAAACCCATATACCTGAAAGACGTGCCTCACCTCAGCCACTATGTTCCGAACCTCCAAACACGCCCTAACCCGCTGGATCACAACCCCTACTTTAACACCCGCCATCTGCGAGATCATGGTTTCTACCTTACTCATTCCGACCTCGTACTACGCCATATCGGAAACGACCCCTCTCCCTTGCCCCGCTTCGCCTACCACCGCGCCGGTCCCCGCAAGCTCATCTACTTTGACCCTTCGCTTGTCCGCGTCGGCATTGTCACCTGCGGGGGTCTCTGCCCCGGCCTTAACACCGTCATCAGAGAGCTTGTGATGGGTTTGTGGCACCTCTATGACGTCCGTCATATTATGGGCATCACTGCTGGGTACAGAGGGTTTTACTCCTCCGAGCCACTCCCCCTCAACCCCAAAGTTGTTCAACATTGGCACAACGTCGGTGGCACACTCCTCCAGACATCCAGAGGCGGTTTTCACCTCAATGATATCGTCGACGCCATCCAAAATCACGCCTTCAATCAGGTTTAGTTATTTCTAATCACTTAATGCATATGCAGTAGAGGTTCAACGTACTTAAAACTAGAAATCTATAAGTAGAAGAACACCTTTTTTTTTTTGTTTCCGTTGTTTTCTATTTCTGGACAATCAGATTGAAGAATTGTGCTCATTATTGTTCTTCTAGATTGAAATTGCATATCATCCCTATGTTTTACTTTACTGTTCCTCAAGATAATGCAACGAAGATTCAGTGATGTAGTACATTTTGTTTAAAACGTACACACATGCGTGTCTATATACGTGTATTTGGTAGAAAAGTACATGTAGACACAGAATGGAATAAAGGAAGAAAGAAAGAAAACTAACGGAAGAGGTTGATTATGCACATGAACAGGTGTACATTATAGGAGGAGATGGGACTATGAGAGGTGCAGTGAAGATATTTGAAGAAATACGGCGTCGCAAACTGGAAGTCGCAGTTGTTGGAATTCCTAAAACTGTGGATAATGATGTGGGAATAATTGACAAATCTTTTGGATTCCAAACAGCTGTTGAAATGGCTCAGCAAGCAATCAGTGCTGCTCATGTGGAGGCGGAGAGTGCAGTGAACGGCATAGGCCTGGTCAAGTTGATGGGTCGAAGCACAGGTCACATTGCTCTACATGCAACACTCAGTAGCCGCGATGTTGATTGCTGTCTAATTCCCGAAATAGATTTCTATTTGGAAGGGAAAGGAGGGCTTTTTGAGTTTCTTGACCAGAGACTTAAGGAAAATGGACATGCCGTGATTGTGGTTGCTGAGGGTGCTGGCCAGGACATAATCCCCAGAACTGATTCGCAGAAGGAAGAACAAGATGAATCAGGGAACTTGGTCTTCTTAGACGTTGGTGCATGGTTGAAATCAGAGCTAAATAACTGGTGGGCAAGGGACCACCCCCATGAGTTATTTACGGTGAAGTACATTGATCCTACATACATGATTCGTGCAGTCCACGCAAATGCCTCTGATAACTTGTATTGTACACTCCTAGCACACTCTGCAATTCACGGTGTTATGGCAGGGTATACTGGCTTTGTAACTGGTCCTATTAATGGAAACTATGCATACATTCCTTTGGAGGATGTGGCGCAAGCAAATAACCCGGTTGATACCAAAGATCATAAATGGTCGTGGGTGAGATCTATCACCAACCAACCTGATTTTGTAAGGAGGTAGACACAGACACAACATCAAAGTTTTCAATGACCTGGTGATCCCGTTCGTAGCCGATTGACATGTTCTGATGTCAACAGTTACAGGTTTATGCCATAATCTTCCTATTGCCTGAAGAGTCTTGGTAAAAGATGGATGGGGAGATCATGTGCAAATTAGTGTGATTTGTGCATACTCTGTAACACTAGTTTTTATGTTGGAATTTAATTATATGTCAATGTAGCAACTTCCTTTATACTTTTAAGAGTTTCAACTTTTGTTGGACTAAACCTTATTAGGATAAACTATTTTTAATTAAATTACTTTCTAAGATGACATCCTAAATTTATTATTTTCCATTTAAGTTGGAGTTTAATTTACAAGGTGGTACACCAGAACTTATTGTATCTATATTTCAAATTAGATAGGGAAAATGATGCCTTGTCCTCAAAAACTTAAGGTGCTTAGTTTACAAATGAGAAAAGGAAAATGACTCGGAGGTTTCCTTTCTGGGAAAATTCCGAAGAGTATACTTTTATTAAGTAAATTTCACTATGAAAGAGAATGTTAGGTGTTAGAAACAGTTATACGTTTCTAGTATTCTCTTTTTGTTGTAGTGGGAGACAGCATAGTCAAAAAATGAGTATAATGAGCTTCCAATATTCTATGCTAATGAGCCCAAATTCCCAATTGATGTCGATTCCCTAAAAGCCTATCGAAAGCCGAAGGAGAGAGAATAAGAACAAAGGGTGAATTGAAAATTTTGGCCATAATTCTGCTTTGTCAAGGTTTTATTAAAAAAATAAGCAACTATTGCTTTTTTGGATTGGGATTGAGAATATTAAAATAGGGCTTGAAGGCCTCCTAAAGGACATTCCTCACAGCACAACTACTCCTATCCTGTGTATCAAAATCTGGTGGCATAAATGGAAATCTAAAAGGGGACAAATATGTAAAAAATCTTTTATACATTATTTGTTTAAGAATCTATCCCCTTTTATCTACTCTCTTTTATATTTATAATTTTCATAACTTGAATAATTAAACTAATTTATAATACAATTCAAAATAATCATTGATGGTTTATAATATAACTGTCTTCAAATTCATCTTAGTTCTAGTTCCTTCTCTTCCCCATATGAACCAATAAAGAGTGGCCACCAAGGAGAACCTCCTTCTGCCACGTGGCTCTATTTTTCCATTGGTTTTGGAATGTCACTGTCAGGAAAAAAGACGGCTAAAAAAATGTGATGAACTTAACTTCATTTTACCAAATGAGATGAACATTAGCTCACTGTAACTTGAACATCAGAGTTTTTCTACAGGCACCACTCTGATCATATGGAGAAGAGTACCAATACTTTTGCTAGTATTATCCAACCTCTAAATTAAGGGAGTTCCTAAAGCAATGAAACTAAGCATCCTATGTGACTTAATTTTCCAATTACCAGCTACAAAGTTATATATGTTATATATATATATATATATATATATATATATATATATATATATATATATATATATATATGTATGTATGTATGTATGTTTATAAAACCAGTGAAGTCAGGAATTTCAGTCATAATTAAGTATATCTCCAAAGAATAAGATAACAATAATGGTCCATGGAGAGAATATTACTTGTCCAAATCAATAAATAATTAATCACATAAATGGTGTGTGTGAACAAATGAAAAAGTGGATTTCAGAAGCATAGCGATTTTCTTAAAGAAAATATGGAGTTATTATAATAGCCATAAAATAAAAAATAAAAATCTAAAAACAACAATATTCTGTCTGCAATGTGAAACATTTACAAAGACAGAGGGTATTCTGGTAAAGCTGCATAAATCCCGCTTAGTAATAATCTTTGTTGAGCTAAAAAGGCAAGGAAGTTGTCATTCATCTTCAGGTGCTTTACTGTTAACAGTTAACACAGTTAGTGTGTGAGGACTGAGCTAGTTCTAGCTCTGCGTTCCGTGTGTCTCCACCCTGAACTTGCTGCAAAATCTTTGTTTAATGAGCGGTAAAAGCGTGTTTGTTTGTTCTTTTGAGTGTTAGAATGTTGGAGGGAAGGTTGTTGGGTGGTGCTGTTATGATGTGGCTGTTAGCATGGAGGTGGGTTATTCCGATGGGAGAATCAGCAATAGGGGTCAACTGGGGCACCGTTTCTTTCCACAAGTTGAATCCTTCCACGGTGGTTGATCTCTTGAAAGATAACAAGATTTCAAAAGTAAAGGTGTTTGAGGCAGAACCTGAGGTTCTTAAGCCTCTCATGGGGAGTGGGATTCAGGTGATGCTTGGGATCCCGAATGGCATGTTGGCCCTCCTCAGCACTTCCCCTACTGCTGCTGATTTGTGGCTTCGCCAGAATGTTTCTGCTTACATAGGAAAGCATGGTGCTGATATCAGGTTTTTCTTTCAAAACCAATACTTTTTCTTAGGGACGAGTTTCTTTTGAGTTATGTAGAGATTATCAAGAAGCGTGTTTTGTCTTTTCCAACAAAGTTTTTTAATACACATGAGCATCTTGTTTAAGAATCAAACCGTAAGTTTCAAAATCAATGGTTATTTATTTCCTTAACAGTGTCTATCATTAATATTGACGCCATGATAATAGTGTGGAGTGGTTTATTTTGTTGTATCAAGATGGAGGAAAGTTTGCTGTATGATAAAGCTATCTTTTACAGTCAAATAGTGTCAAGAATCAACTCCTTACTTTATTATCTTCAACCTTATATGATTTTAATTTCTTGATGAAGAGCAGATAACACATAGATTGAGTGTTTTTGTTCTCATTCTGAGATGTGCTTTGCATATTGCCCTGGGATTTCTTATGTCAAACTGTTTACTTAACAGATAATATCTACAAATCTTGGAATGAGTTGCTTAATGCAGTCGTTTAAAGTCTGCAATAGCATTTAATTAATCTATTATGATGTTCTTTCACGTTATATATGAAAAGATTATTTGAATTTTTTTACCATCCGAGGATAAATCTTTAATTACAATTGTTTTGACCATCCGAGGATAATTCGTTAATTACAATTTTTTTGACCAACTGTAATATACCACGAACAATCCAAAAATATCTGTCAATGGGATCATCTCAAATAGAAATTATCAGAAGCTTTAATCTTCCATGGAATGTTATTATTACGTTGAAGTCTTGAATTTGCTCTCTGCCAATCGAAGACTATAGTTTGAAGTATTTGTCACAATAAGTAAGATCCTATTCATTTAGGTCGAAGAAAATTGTTTGCAAGTTTAAATAAAATATCATGTATAAGTTAAAGAACTTTTTCTTTTGAACATTGGCTTATGTTAACTTTCTGTACGACCTCGAACTTTTCCCCTTCTTCGTCAGCCATAAGTATTAGCTGTTACAGACTTATAGCTAGTTTTTTCTTTAGAATGTTTTGATGTTTAAAAGCATTTAAACCATTGTTGTTTTTGTTATAGGTACATTGCTGTTGGTAATGAACCATTCCTCACTAGTTATAACGGTGAATATCAGAACTTGGTGATGCCAGCCATACTCAATCTACAGCAGTCTTTGGTGAAAGCAAATCTTGCTAGTTACATTAAACTAGTTGTCCCTTGCAATGCAGATGCATACGAGTCTTCACTTCCTTCCCAAGGGGCATTCCGGCCTGAATTGACCCAAATCATGACTCAGCTGGTTCAATTTCTCAACTCAAACGATGCCCCATTTGTTGTTAATATCTATCCATTCCTCAGCCTCTATGACAACAAAGACTTCCCACAAGACTATGCATTCTTTGAGGGAACTACTCACCCTGTCACAGATGGAAACAATGTGTACACCAATGCATTTGATGGAAACTATGACACTTTGGTTGCAGCCCTTACTAAACTGGGATATGGTCAAATGCCTATAATCATTGGGGAAATCGGTTGGCCCTCAGATGGAGCCATTGGTGCAAATATCAGTGCAGCAAAGGTTTTCAATCAAGGTCTCCTGAGTCATGTTCTAAATAACAAAGGGACCCCTTTGAGGCCAGGTGCTCCTCCTATGGACATCTATCTCTTCAGTCTGCTTGATGAAGGAGCAAAGAGCATACTACCAGGAGGGTTTGAAAGACACTGGGGGATATTCTCATTTGATGGCCAAGCTAAGTATCCTCTAGACCTTGGCCTTGGCAACAAGGAATTGAAGAATGTAAAGAATGTTCAGTATCTTCCACCCAGATGGTGTGTAGCAAGCCCCTCCATAGATGTTCAAAACGTAGCAAACCATATGAGAATTGCATGCAGTGTTGCGGATTGCACCACACTTGGTTATGGAGGTTCTTGTAATGGGATTGGGGAGAAGGGTAACATCTCATATGCTTTCAACAGTTACTATCAGTTCCAAATGCAAGACTCACGTAGCTGCAATTTTGATGGGCTTGGTATGATCACTTTCCGAGACCCCTCAGTTGGTGATTGTCGTTTCCTTGTGGGCGTCACAGACAAAGGCTCTGACTCCTCTGTTTCTCAGACCAGATATCAGTGGTCGGTTCTACTACCATTTCTAATCATAATACAAATCATCACTTCTTTTTCATTGTGATTCAGATGTTCCACAATGTGGGATTTCCATTTTCTATAAAAAGAAGTAGCAGTGAAGTAGAATATTCAACAACCAGTATAGGATCTAATCATTGTTGTATCATAATACAAGTGATGATCTGAACATCAAAGCATTCAATATTACACATAATTTATCTAAATCCTATTTATGTGGCATCTGTTGATACAAACAAAGTCTCACATCTAATAAAATAAAAGATAGACATAAATTTATATACACATAGTAATACTAAAAACAAATTTCTAAGAACTTTATCCATCATTGTAGAGATTTTGAACCTCCACAGTTATCACCTACACAAGAGTTCCTATTAACTAAAACACAACTTTATAGGTGATTGTTTTTTCAAAAAATATTTAATTTTAAAATAAGAAACAGCACATGCCATGATGCCACATGCATGTCAACACACGTCAAAATTTCAGATAAAGTTAGAAAGTCGTTTATTACATAAGATAAATTTTAACGCCATTAAAAAATAAGGACCAAAACTAATTATTTTGAAAGCATAAGGACCAAACAGTGACAATTTCGATCCGGAACCATTTCTAATTTTAGCTAATACTTCAGAGAAAAAAAAGCATATTTTTTCCAAAAAAACAAAAACACTTTATATACGTTTAACCAAAACTGCAAAGACTAATAAGAGTATATTTCCTGTTATCATTAGATTTACCTTTACCGTTCTGCAACTAATACAACTGAAGATTTCTGAGTGGTATAAAATCAATCCAATGATTTTGTAGACATTAAGAAAAATCCATCTTGTGATTTTAGACATTAATAAAAATAATGTTTGAAATAATATCTCAAATACATACCCTTGCAAAAAATTTGTAATTACAAGAGAACATACGCTGCTAACTGATTTTTAATCACCAATGACCTAAACAAAATAATGGCAACAAGAGCGAAAGAAATTGGATAGAAAGGGACATTATCCATCTGTCAAGGGGGAAAGGCAAAGTTGGTTAGGCACAAGAGCTGACATGCTCTGGTGTTTCTGGAGCAGCAATTCTTAACCCTGGACAAGTGTTCAAAGAACTCTTCACAGCTTGCTGAAGCAATTGCAAAGACTTGTGGTAAAACATATTTCTGACCAAAATTAATGCCAACGTGTTAATGCTGAAACGCCTGAATAATCTATTTTGTTCCCCCTTTTATTCTCAAATGAAGTAAATAAATAAGCAAACCCATTCATTCAATCTATAAACCTCATCCATCCAAAACGGGAAGACAAAGTTCTACTCATAATGAAAATATAAACAAAGTCCATATCCACCCCTTTAGTGAACCCTTCACACCAAACCCCATCATTCACAAGCCAATCGAAAATCACTCCCAATCAAGAACACTGAACCTGACATGCATGATGTAGTTGCCTCATGTATCATCAACTTGTGAGTGAAAAACAAAACTGGGAAATGTAGTGGTGATATCTCTGCCAAGGAAACAAGTTAATTCAGATGCCAGATGCTTGAGATTGATAAAATAGAATAGTTCGAGAGAAGTAAGATACATATATATCTTAGAAATGCCATCGAGGATAAAATCAATCATAAAGGTAATCGAATTGATGCCAAAATCCAAACAGTTACAACTTAAACAAAACTTCTAATTTGAATGGCCCCTAGATAATTTTACATGCATAGTCCACATAGGTCATGAACATGTAGATATATTTTTGCTTTTTCTAAATTATTCTTCCAATGATACGTTACATTAGCAAAGAACTTCTAAAGTTTTAGTACAACTTTTATTACGAAACCATTTGGAAATTTCTTCTTTTCTTCTTTTTTCAATACTAACTTGAAAGCGAAAACAACACACATTCAATTAGAAAATGTTGATAATAAGAGGGGACAAGGGAAGATGAAAGAGGCATGGATTGTAATAATTTTAAAATAGTAAAATATCATTTCCGTTTTATTATGATTTTATGTATAATATCTATATCAAGCTTTTAAAAAACATGAGTCTGTAAAAATTGAAAACTTTTACTATAAAAATGAGGTCATCAAAAAGAAGAAAATAAAAACACCCCGTTTCTTCTCTTTATTTGATATTATAGGGGATTTGCTATCCAGTTTGAATTGGTAACAAAATCATTCGAGCCAACTAATGAATCAATAATAATAAGTTCCTATTGAGACTTGTGTAAGGAATGCGATGTAAATCATTCGAGCCAACTAACGAATCAATAATAATAAGTTCCTATTGAGAATTGTGTAAGGAATGCGATGTAAATCATAGAAGGGATTCATTAATAACATTTTTTAAATAAAATTTGGGGTTTGCTGTTTGCCTTAGAACACTAGCTAGTATTCACGGTTTGCATTAATAATATTCCAGATCATTTTAACAAACACATCCCAAATATGCATGATAACATTTCACCAACAGGAAGGAACTCACTTGAGATACTGAAGTGTCATATTTTTCAGAAGAGATGGATGCCGCAAGACAAGGTTTCGCCATTCTTCCTTGTCAATCTTCCCATCATGTTTGGTATCAGCTTCCTCAAATGTCTAAATAACTTAAGAACTATCAGTGACAGATCACCAGATAAGACTATAGTAACACAAGAATGGTTTTATACACCAACCTCACTATTATCAACTCAACAGTCAAAACTCTAGTAATTTATGATGTTCACAAGATTAAGGCTGAAAGAATAGTTTACTTTATTTAAGAGATAAATTCTGTAGAAACTTTGGACAGACTATGAAGAAAACGTCGCATTATTTGTATAGAGTACACACAATTGTTGCATTAATGGATCCCTTATGTGAGATACAACAAAGGACGGACATGAACTGTCAAAAGGACATACAGACTTAAATTTGAGAAACAACAGAACTAGCAGCCTGTTGTAAGCAATTACAAACACAAAAATTAGACAGATTTTTACTTAATAGTTCCCATTGCATATATAATTTCACATGCTTCAGTTTCACTTCTACAGATTTTCAAGAGTAAAATTAGCAATAATAAATGTCATGCTTACTCTAACACAAAGAGAACTTTAGAAAACAAAAAGCTAGCAAAAACAGGTATTTGTCAAATGCTTCAAATACACAGTCTAGTAATGAACATAAGATTTGACATGCAAGTTATCAGATAATTTAAGCACCTTGTCAATAATACTTTCGACCACATCATCTGAAAGATTCATGCCAGATTCAGCCAGAGTGGCCACTACCATTTGTTTTACCTATACACAAATAACATCAGTCATCAATGAACATTATCAGAGTATGAAGCAGATTTCAGGGAAAGAGAATTTTTTGCCCTACAATTCTAAAATATGATTTTAAATTATAGGAAGATACTCAAGTTTTAAAGAGCCAAAGGGAAAAAGAAATGTAATGTGTAAATTTTTGGAATGCTTAACTTGAAAGGATTAATTTGAAAGAAAGAAGATTCTTATTTTTGCTAATTGATTTGAAACATTACATCAACTCATATATATAGAGAACTCAAACCCTAAAGTAATAATTACAAGGGATCTCTAGAATCTTCTAATAACCTCTAACAACTTCTAACAACTTCTAGTAATACATTTAATATTCTACCAACAACTTTTAGTATTGCATTTAATATCCAACTAACAACTCTCCCTCAAGTTGGTGAATGAATATCTAACATTCTTAGCTTGCATGTGAGATCATGAAATCGCTTAGCTTGCTGCATGTTAGACCTTTTGTGAACAGGTCTGTTAACTGAAGTCCTGATGGGATGTAAGAGGCAGTGATAAGGCCACTGTTCAGTTTCTAATAAAGTGTTGGTCTATCTCTATGTGCTTGGTCCTATCATGCTGAACTGGATTGTGAACAATACTAATAGTTGACTTATTATCACAATAAAGGATCATAGATTCTTCACATGCCACTTTAGGATCATTTAGGATAATTCTCATCCATAACACACACACACCCTTTATGCCATAGCTCAGAATTCAACTTCTGCACTAGACCTTGCAACAACATTTTGTTTCTTACTTCTCCAAGTCACCAAATTTCCACCCAAGAACATGCAATATCCTGAAGTGGATTTCCTATCTATGACAAACCCTGAATAATCTGAATCAGTATACACTTCCATTTTTTATTTTTCATTCCTCTTAAACAGTAATCCCCTTCCTCAACTTCCCTTCAAATATTGAAGGATCTTGTTTATAGCTTGTAAATGTCTCTCCCTTGGATCATGCATGAACGAACTAACAACACTCACAACATAATCATAAGAAAAAGAAGTTACCTCTTGCCTTTCAATGAAACCTTGCTGTTTGAGATCATACAATTGGAATGAAACTGCAAAAGGTAAAAGTTGGGATTCCTCAACAGGCATATACATTACTATCAATACCAAATGCATTAAAGAAATAAAAAGACAGCTACAGAAACAACACATGATCTAGCCCCCTCTCCAATAAATGCCCTTTTCATTCAAAACCTACACTAAAAAGTAGACCAGATAGCAGAAGTCTTCTCATGATTTATCATTCTTACACTCAATCTTATCATCAATTGGTGCATTGGGATGAAAGACAGAGAGAGCCCGTGCAAACTCTTCAAAATCAAGTATGCCATTGTGCTTTGTATCAAACAAGTCAAACACCTACAAACAGTCCGAAATCATAAACAGGACAAATACACTTTTAAGCTTCATATAATATGTATATGCTATGCAACTAACTTAATAGTAATCAGATCATATATATTACACTAGAAACAGGCACCCACCTAACAAATCAAAGATAGTACAATAATGACATAGACTGTCACATTTGTTAGGCCAAATTGTAACATGGTAAGAGAAATCAACTAGATTATAAAGTATACAAAGGTAGTTGAAAAAAAATTTACTATGGAAATTGAAAATATTATCCAAAGTTATGACATTTTCAGAAAAAACAGTGCACAGAAATATTTGTTATATTGTTGTTTCTTTTTCATCATGGAAATGTAAAAGGCAGATGGAAAATAAACAAGTTAATCTTTATATACCCTATCTGCAAATAAGCTCTCTTTCTTGTTCGTC